TTTTTAGAGATATGAGAAAAGTTTAGAGAGTGAGTAGTTTGAACCACGTTAAAAATATACAAAAGGCTAAATCCAATCCGGGACTATGGTCGCCCATCCAAATCGAATTATTTCACAAATCTACAGTACACTGACGCCGATTTGTCAGTGAACTGAGGTACACCAAAACTCCAGTACACTCGAACCGAGATACGCGATAAGCCTATAATAATATAGTATAATATAGGATTTTCCACACAGGAAAAACTGCACACGGGCGAAACCGGAATATTATTCAGCTGGTATAAATTATAATAATAATATGTGGGTGAGACGTGACACACACGCTTTCACGCACGTACACTCGGTAAGCACTTGACTACTTCCAATATGATATTCTTTAATCCGCGATTGTGCATAAATAACATAATAATATTAACAACGCCCTGCAGAGTGCGTCTGTGTAGACAAATTGACTACCCGACGCGCCGTCCGTATTTTACCATATCACCGTCGTCGGTGCTCGTCGAGGGCAATCATTACCGTCGTCGTAATAACAATAATGTGACGGCCCGCAATAAATCACTTGATAGTATTATAATATTATTATGATTCCAGAACACCTTACACGTGTATACGACCCGGCTGACACGACCGACCGAACACAATACACACACACGTCGTAAATAAACATCTCACTACGACATAATATAATAATATATTATTCTGGTCATATTTTTTTATTTTTTTTAGCTTTCGTCCATTACATAATAATAATATATTGTTGGTATTGATATCATTAATACTGCACGATAATTATAATACTATAATAATATGGTTGACAGCCGTCGTGCACGCACAGTGCATTTTCATTTAAATAATTACATTCGTATTTTCCGTAAATATTTGTTGCCGGCGCACAGCATCAGCATCTACGGAGGATCAAGACATCCGTAAATATCTGATTGCACATCAGAATTTAAAAATATATAATGCATTGCAACTTCCTTTGAAATTGCTAATTAGGTATTCACATACCTACCTACTGAAATTTAGTGAAATATGTTACTCTTAATATTCATTATTTTAAATATTGTTATAATAAAATATACTAACATTGTGTCACATCAATATGCACATTAATCTCGTGGTAGCTGGTTTTTTTTTATTCTACTTAAAAAATATTAGACATTATTCGGTGGAAACTTAAACGTTTTCAGAAGGTTTTTTTTAAACTAAAAGTGATTAATAGTATTTCATAATATGACTTTTAGGGCAATATTAATAATCATTAACCATGGTTATATATGCATATACTTAGAGGCATTTATCAAAACTATACTCTTCTTTAAATCGGTAGATTCTAAATTATACAAAATTCAAAGATAATAAAACTAAAATAATTATCAATATGCGATAAGTACATATTTATATTTATAGTAAATGCTTGTATACAAAATTATTCAAAACAATATTATCAATAATTAAAAATATATTTTCACCATTGCCATAATTTTTATAGTAAGTTAATGACATGGGACTATAAAAGAATAATCCTCACTTTATATTTTCATTTAAAAGCAATTTATAAATTATTTTGAAATCATCCATACTTTTAAATTGGTATTCAAGAAGGAAAAATGGATTTCATCAAAACATAACCAATTTTGTAAAGTTATAAAAAAAACATGAATAATAAAAAACCATTATGAAAACACAATATTTTTTGTATAAAAATAAGACAGTAAGTATGGTATAGTACATAAAAATAAAGAACAAATA